TTTTCGGTTTCGGACGAAAGTCATTTTTAAACTTTCTGCCTTTTTTCGGTTTCGGCCGAAAGTCATTTTAAACTTTCGGCCTATTTTCGGCTTCGGCCGAAATCAGAAAATCACTTTCTGTCGGTCTCTACTTCCCTTATCACTGCTCTCCAATGCATTCCCATATCACTGTTCCACAACACCACTTCCCTGATCACCTCTCCACCACTCCTTCCCTTATCACTGGACATCATTCCCATTTCCCATAATATCATCACTTGTTGTCGACACCCCCCACCCCCCTTTCCCCACAAAAAAACCTTTTCCCCCCAATAACATTGAAATATTGAATGGATTTAATGATTTGGAATCTACAGAAGTTGTCAATGAACACAAGAGTTGACATTCACATGGACAACATCGAGACTGGCTTCCTGTAGAAAAAGCATAAACACTATACCCAAGGAACAATGCGTGGTATCAATGTCAATGAACAACATTTGGTATCTGTGTCAGTCAACACTACGTCATGTCTATGTCCGTGTTAAATATGTAGCGTTTATTACAATGAACATTATGTTGCGTCCGCGCCAATGAACATCATGTGACGTCTGTGTCAGTGAACAATATTTTGCGTCTATGTGCAACACGTTGTGCCTATGTCAATGAACAATTTGTGCTTTGATGGTGCTATTGTTGTGTCTGCAGACCTGGCAACCTGCCAAGAAAAAAAAATCTTAAAGGTTTGCGGGGTGGGGGTGTTGGTTTAAGATCTTCATACTAATGCGCATGAACATTATACAGAATATCCATTTTAGTTAAATATGTACACAGGCTGCTAAGAGTTCAAATTCAAATTGGATTTTTTGCAGCATATCCCTACTGGCCTTTTGGCACTTGCCCAACAGCTCTTTGGACAACTGAAGGTTAGCATTGCGACTGATTTTTAGTTACAAGCAAGTTACAAAGAGTATCAACTTTCATGCTTGCCCTTGTTTCATTGTAATTTTCCTTCACAATCTTCTAGCAATCTGCGAGTCTGGAAACTCTTCTTTGACTCCGGCATTAAAACTATCGAAGTTGGCTAGAGAAATATTTCCATCATCCGAATTTCCAGACTATCTTGAATTTGTTGAAATGAGGCACGGTAAACTCTGATCGGCTATTAGCCGTCACGTAACAAGGCTGACGGACAAAATCTCGCTCAACTTTGTTTTGGTGGTCACGTGACTTGGTCAAATACATAATAGCCGGACAATTATCTCTAGAACTTTTTTGTCCAGTCGCAGGACATGTAGACACTTTGTAAAAAAAAACAAAGGAAATGGCATCATCAAAATGCACCACTTCCTGTTGTACCTGATTTTTTTTTTTTGGGGTTGCTTTTGGATTTTTATGACAGGTGAAATATTATAATGTTCGGAAAATCAGAATTTTAAGGGTTTTGTCGGAAGTCGGAATGAGAGGTAAAAAAATCTGTATAATTCCGACAAAATGGAAAGGGTTGGCAGGTCTGTGTCTGTAAAAGAAAAAGATGGAGTTGAGAAAAGCCAAGTTGAAAATGCTGTGTGACTAATATGAAGCTAGTAGGTTTGAAACTCAAATGTTATAATGGAATGAGGAGCTCACGGCTTGGTGTAAAAAAAAACAGGACTTGCAACATCAGAATCCCATCCAAAAAATTAAATCCCAAATTCCCTTAAATTGGTTAACATAAAACAAGCAGCTTTGGTATTGTATGCACAACAAAGCATGCAGATGGCAACTATACAGGCGACAGCTCAACTGACATATCTAAATCTCAAAACGCATAATGGAACACAAACGCCATATTTTTTAAAAAATATAAAAAATTAAGTGTTATCAAAATCAAAGAACATACCAAAACTGTTTCAATTTCAACTAGGATAATGAAAAAAACACTACTGACCGCTTTCTAAGGAAAACAGAAATGAGATGGTTGGGTTATTAAGACTGAATTTGATAGTTTTCAGTTGGAAAGGAAAAACCAAGGAGATCCATGTAGGTGGAGATCCATGTCAAGTAAGAACAATTTGAGGCATTGTTAAGCCACAGAATTTGATAAGTGCAATAGTTGGGGGGGGGCGGGACATTGTGTAATATAATATACAAGTATGCTTACTCAAGTGATTTCTCTATTGTACCAGTCCTGAAAATCTCCTCTGAATCTATCTTGATGGCACAGCATGTGTTCTTTGAGCTTCCGGTGAAAGATGAAGCAGGCAGGTTCTTGGCTTCCCCTGAAATTCAAATTGCTAGTATTATTTCACATAAATATTTAATAGACATAAAATACATTTCCACACACACAAAAAGACATACCACTTTTAAATATGTACTTTAAGATGTGCTTCTCAGATATGCCCTCCCAGATTTCCACTTTAAGACAAGCACTTTAAGACTTGCACTCTCAGTTATGCACTTTTTAACAAAATACATTCTGAGAAAGAAGATGTGGTGATAGGCAGGGGTGCAGTCTCTTAAATAATCAAGGGCAAGGTCCTTGGCCATTAAATAGATTAGTTCTGTTTTTTCTCAAACTAAACCCAGGATCCTACTGTGTACCCTAAGTTTCTTTATCTCTTTTTTCTTGTTTTTCATTTGTTGCTTGAGGAAGAAGGCATTTTGTCCTACATGTTCATTTTATGTCATTGGTGAATTATTTCAAGTTTTCCTTTATCTTGTGTTCTGTTGTTGATTATTTCCTTATATTCAATAACTTATCATAATTATTAAACTGACTTTACAAATGATGCTTAGCTATAAAAGGCCAACAACTTGTATTACCTGTAGCCAATGGCAAACTATACATAAAAATAGCTCTATCATTATTTCAAATAAATAGGCCCTGATAAGAGCTTAGACCTATATAATAATGAGTATCATCCAGACTTTTACAAATCATTGTGGAGCCAAAATGTTAATTGACTGCTTGTTAATGTACAGATGGGTGGCAAACCTTATAAGTATTAAATATAAAAGTTTGGTTGCTGATTATTGTTGCCTGTATTTTTGTATAGTTTTATTTTACTGGGCGTATTTTTACATGTGCATTTTTAACATTAAATCAAGCAATTGATATAGGCCTATATATTGTAATTAATATGTCCCACTCTTTTTTCTATTTTTTTTTTTGTAAACACCTAAATTACCTACTTTTCCCTACTAAGAAATTTATGACTATCGCCTCGTGGCAGATTTTTAGTGTGAATAAAATGAAAACAATTAAGTTTGAAATTCCCAACGAGCAACTAAAATGCAGTTTCCCAGGTTTCACAACTACATACTTTCAATAGTTATAGTATGTTTTAAGGCACAGGGCTATTGAAGTAACATTGAGTATCCTATTAGCCTATATAAAATTCAGTCTGGCTATATTTATATACTGAGAAGGCCTAATTAAAACAATAAAAGTAGTTAAGAGCCTTAATTTGTTCATATTTAAAATATATGATTATAAAATTATAAAGCCTATCTACGATGCCTAGCCTATTGACTGGGTCTATAGTCTAGACCAGTGGTGGACCGGTCTGTGAGCTTTATGTGGGGCAAGAAACTTGATAGACGTTTAATAAACTTAATCAGCAATTACAAGAAAACTTATTACGTATAACTTCTAGCATTAAATGGTATTAGTCAATAGAGTCCTCTCACATATTTTTTTAATACATATTTATGTTAAAATAAAAAGATAATAATAATTAACAATTATGACAATGATCCCTGGTGCAAGGGGAAATTATGAAACTGTTCACCAAACTCTAGTACACAGGTTCTCAAGTGTTTTTAAGTCACAACCACATTCATACAAAAGCAAAGGGACCTTACCATGATATATTGGAAAAAAACTCAATTTTCCAGTATAATTATAAATTTTTATAATGTAATTGACAGCAAATTTAATGTCATTATTGAAACTGTAAATCAAACTTTGAGACATATAATATTATTAATTTTATCCCACAATTTCCAGGGGTGAATGATAAGGAAAACTTTAATCCCATTATCCCAGGATAAGCGAAACTAGTGAAAAGATAATGAGAAACTCTAATCTCTACGTCATCACTCATCAGTAGGCCCAGAATTATTAATGTATGAGTCACTGCCTCAGTGACAGAATGCCTGTTATTGAAATTACTGTTATCGAAATTAAATTTAGTATTGTAGATAAAATAATTATCTATATAATAAGCCTTCAATGCTAAAAAAAGCTGACTTTTACTTTTAGTAATATTGATGTCATAAAAATAATAAATTAATTTAATAAGTAGTACTAGTACTAGTACTGTTAATAAAAATGTAAACATTTAGGTTTAGGCCTACACAGTACACTCACTACTGGTCTACTATGTGATTAAGTTTTATTAGTTTGTAAAAAAAAAAGTTCAGACGACAGTGCACTGTATAATAGTAGTGTTAGTAGTATAGTGAACTGTAGTGTGTACACACAAACATAGCAGACAAGCAGTGAGTAGTCAGTAGACTGTAGAGCTCTCATTCAATCATTTAGAAATGAAATTGTCTTACAAGTGAACATGCATAGGCCTATTATGCTCCATTTATGGTATCTCTGTAAATCTTAACGAGTGTGCACCTCGAAATATTTAATTAATAAATGAAACACATCTTACCTATTTTTACACGTAATGTTTCTTCTACTCTCACATCCTTGTATTCTGCTTCTGCCATGTTTCTTACTCCTAGATTTTTTTTTAGCACGACCCGGATATGAATACTTTGCCAGGACTTCCATAAATGAAAATGAAAAGAGTACAAAAAATCGATACGGACAAGCAATTAGGTTCATCAGTGTTTTTTTTTTTTTTTTTTTTAAATCTTGTTCCGATTTTTTTTTTGTATTTTTTATAGTCGATTAAACAAGCAGCTTTTCTGTAGTGAATCAAAAGAAAACTAATGCTTTATTTAAATTGAAGAATTTAAACTTCAGCCCCTAAAGCCTTAAAATAGCTGGTCGGTTTTGCTTTGGTTGAACATGATTTTAAAACCAGTCCAGCGACATAAGACTGATGTGGAGGTCGAGTGGGCTCTACTAGGAGTACTAGGACGAAGGATGTACAAAATTACTAACTTCTTAAATTTCTCCATTTATATCTGAGAATATGTGGTGCAATAAAATATGGGTGTTAAAAGGGGGCTGACAAGACAAATGCGCGCAGAAAACTCCACACAACTAATAGTTAAACTATTCACAAGAACATGGCGCGAAATGCGCACATTAAAAAATGAACGTTAAAAAACAAAAAAAAAAACGCAAGAAAGGTTTGGTTTAACAATATAGGCTAGATTAAGGCACTGTGGGAAACATTTTTGTCATCATGCAATTAGGGTTTTTAATATCTCAGCGTGTTGCTCACTTTCGAAAACTTAAAAACCGCATTTTAGACCTAAATATTAATTATTATTTTATTTATTTATTTTATGTTCCGTGTGTCATTGAAAATCGCGCTCCATGTTTGATCTGGCACGCGTGCCGTAGGTTGTTGACCCCTGGCTTGGGCCTTAACAAGTATAGATCGGGGAGGGACTAGATATGGCACAGGGTTTTAAATTTTACTTCACACAAAATATTTTATCGATGCACGGAGATAAGCCGTATTCAATATCTTGCCATTGTACGCAAAATTATAGATGCGCACAAAGTTGATTGAATTTTGCACTACCGGGCAGCCCACGTGTAGGCCTAACTGTCGGAAAAACAAATTGAAAATAAGCTTTGTAAAGGAATACGTTCTTACAGATCAAGTCATTGTTTGATACTCAAATTATTGATTATGTTAATGTTATCGATGAACACACGTGCTTATTACAAGCGTCATATTATCACATTGTTCTTATCAACCAATCCTTACACAGTAATAATAGTTCCCCATCCCAAGAACCCTGTTCCCTAACCTTCCATCACTTCTCTCCCAAATTTCCTCCAGTCAATCCACTTTCTCCCCCATCCTCTCACCCTCCACCCAATGCACTTTCTCCCCTATCCTGTCACGCTCTACCAAATTCCCATTCCTCCCTATCCTATCACCCTTCAGCCAACCCACATTATCATCAGTGGGACTACAGGCCCTGGCCTGCTTCTCCACATTCTTCCAGTCGGAACGATCCATGGCTTTCCCCCTTCATGCGCGAACCCCAAACTGGCGTCGATCCATCTCACTCTTAGGCGACCACCGGTCACCCAACCCACAGAGGACACAAAACATAGAAAATAATTTGAAATTTCTGGAAATGCATCACGCTTAGAAAGTATGTGCAATTGTGCAGAAAATATTCTCAAAAATTAATTCAAATAAAACATATTTTTTAAGCTTCGTCTACATTCAATTCGAATCCATAAGTAGGCCGATATAGAGTGCTCATCTACACTTCTGCACAGACTTTCTTTGCTTAATTCATTTGTAAAAATTTGAAATTATTTCCTACTTTTTAGTGATAGTGTGTTTAAGAAAGAAATTCTTTTTTAAAATTATTTTATTTAAATTAAAAGTGGATTCACCTGCATCCAATTTTAGAAACTAAAATGTACATATCAATAAGGTGATTTTAAAATATTCAATTGAATTCTTTTTTATAAAAAAACAAGCCAGTTCATTATTTATAAATGTGTATTGTTTTATATAAGCTTTAATTAAACATTTTAGTGTACAAAGTTCATTCATGTTTTTAAAAATTTGTGTTTGTAGTTACCTAGCGATGCCTTAAAATGGCGCTGTCTGGTGTAAAGTTTGACGATGGAAAAGCTGGATTTGTACCAAACTGCTTTCCCGTTCGTTCAACGTTAGGTCAAAACAGTAATGAAGGCAAGTTAAAGAAAAAAAGATTTAATTATATCTTAATTATTTACCCCCAGACATGCTGTACTTTTTGTTTTCAATTAGGACAGAAACGTAAAAAAGTATGCCTAAAACTAAAACTAAAATAGTAAAAATTATTGGTGCAATTTTAGTTTCGTTAGTTTATTTTATTCACATTCACAGACTAAGTTTAGTGAATCACTACTAAATACGTCTTCTACAAAATCCTACATTTCGCAAAAATATAAATTGGCATGTTTTTTGTTGTTTTTTAAACTTTTAGATTTTACGTTGCAAGTCTTGGTCTGGAATATGAAAAAATGATTGACTATTAAATTTAAAAAACAAACAGTAGGGTCAGTGTGCGGCGTAGGCGTAGGGGACAGTGAACATATTATAATCATATGATGCAAAGAGGGTATGTGGGTGTTTTATCATTTTGTTATATTGTGTTATATGGGGATGGTAGAGAGCAATATAATATAAAATATAAAATTTATTTTTTTGAAATGAATTCTAATTTTTCGCAAAATTGTGTGAAACTTAGCCAAGATTATTTTTGTTTAAAATGTAATTGTATTTTTTGCTAACAATAATTAGCAAATTTAAAAAAAATAATAATTTCTGGGATTTTGCATGAAATTTGCTGCTTGTTTTTGGACTTAATTCAGTTTTTATTAGGGTATTGAGGTGTGGTTGCTAGAAATGTTATATAATTTAACATAATTTAGTGGGGGGGGGGGGGTTTGGGGTTTTGGCAATGGAAATTTTCCATAAACTTATTAAGGATGGGGGGTTGGTAAAAATAAAAAAATTTTTTTAATTCAGTTTTTATTTGGGTATGGAGGTGTGGTTGCTAGAAATGTTATAAAATTTAACATAATTTAGTGGGGGGGGGGTATTGGTGTTTCGTCAATGGAAATATTCCATAACATTATTAAGGCTAGGGGATTGGTAAAAATAATCAAATTTTTATGTTATAAGATATGTGCACAGCTCATAGCATACTGCAGTTTGAAATCCTTAGATGTATACACAGACACAACATTCCACCGAAGATGTATTCCATCATTAACATTTAATGATCTTTAAGGCTCTCTTTAGTGAGGTCATTGGATTCCTTTTGAATATATTGAATTTTCATTACCGGTATTGAAAAATTCTTGATTTGTCTGAATTTTAGATATCAAGAATTTGGGATTTTTTAAAACCGTATTTCAACTTGTCAAAACTTTGTTGTTTTCAGCTAGTGGAAAATGGCTAGTTGCACATCAAGCTGAACAGCTGCGAAGATTTAAGACAGTTTTATGTGCCAAGCCTCTGACCTATGCTCGCATAAAGGATGAGCGAAAAAAATCAGAATTAAGAGATTTGAAGTTGGATTGCCATAACTTTCAGGATGAGGGAGAAAGAGAAAATGAGGAAGGAAAGACATTGGATGGCTTCTTTTTGGTAAATGAGATGTTCTTGGTGTTTAATTTATTTCATACAAATTATAGATTTAGTTTTTTCTTCTCAAAAGTTCTGGTTTATGCTGTCATAATTCTAAGCTTTTTAAACCTAATCATTTTCATAATTCTCAAAAATCGATTAATTCTATTTATTGATTATAAACTTGTCTACGTCATCAGATCAGCTCCATCCGCCACTACCTTACAGTTAGCGCAACAAAAACCCTAGTCTGTGCTCTAGTTCTCTCTCGTCTTGACTATTGTAACCCTCTTCATATCAGGTTTATCAAAACACTACATTGAAAAATTAAAAAAGGTTACAACTTCGACTACGAATAATATTCAATGTTTTTATGTTTTTTAAAAACAAAGGTCCCTTCTTTTACATTAGATTAGTATGTCCACTAGGGCTATGTTTAGGGTATGGTTATATTGCTAATTAAATACTCTAAATTAATCTCACTCCACACTCACTCTAACGTTCAATGACAATCTCACTAGCTCTCACTTCAATTAATACTATCACTATACTAAGAAACACAGGTGGTTCAGCCCACAAATAAATATTTAATTATAAACAGAATTAACGACACACATACACATATAGAGCAATGTCTAATTAACTATCTAATATTTAGGTCTAATAAAATTTTTCCATGGATTAAGTTGCGATTGGTGAGCTGTCCTCTGTAGACAAGTCCAACACGCACCCCCAGCAGCCTTCTCCTCAGGTCACAGCGCACTGCGGGCGGCTTGGTTGCGTAACTTGTCTCAGGTCACTGGCACTGCGATGTGATAGGTGTCAACCTTGACACTTTACCGTGGGGGTACACACACACAGTACACGCTACTGTCTTGTTTGATTTTGCTTCCCTCACTGGGCACTGTGACGTAACAGGTCTCTGGTCAAGCCTCTGCTATTCTTATAGTAGTAGGCCTAACCTACACTTAGTTCTTTAATTGGAGCTCAACGTTATTCTGACCCTTACGACTGACTCCACTAACTGAACTGTACTAGCATCTACTGTACTAAACTGAACTGTTAATTACTTCACAGTTCTTACTGAACTATTACTTACTAGTTCAACTATCACTTACTGATCCAAATATTACTTAACGGCCAAATGTTACGTACTGGCTAGAAATGAGAATAACAAATACAACGTATAAGACATAGCTAAGAATTACAAATCACATCACATTATAAATTGTTAATAGTTATCATAATCAAACATTAATTATAGTCCTAACATAAAACTACAACTTTAATTCTACATTCCCATACACATGAATATGCAAATTAACAATACTAACCCAGCAAATTATAGATGAACACACTTCATCAACTAATTATGCAAGTCAGGCTCTACTGCCATACTTCAGGTGAAAGAGGCCGATACATGACTAGGGGGTGCCTTTTATATTGATTACAGGGACACTGTCCTGCATTTCTAACATGCGTCCTTATGGGTACTCAGCGTGGTTACTCAGCGTGGCAACTCATTGTGATAACGCTTGAACAGAATGAGTGCATTGTTTAAGCTGGGTCCGGTCAAGGTTATCAGGCTAATTTCCATTGTTATTTGAGTAATTTTTATTATTGTAAGGCCCAGCCTAATTGTGTCATATTGCATGGGGTAGCGATGGAGAGTGTGGGCCAGCGGGTCTCACAAAGGTGAGGACCAGCGGGTCTCAACACAAGGCTAATTCTAAAGGCAAAAAAAACGTGATCACGTCACACCCCTACTTCATTCACTTCATTGGCTCCTGGTACAAGCACTCATTGACTACAAGTTCTCTGTTCTCTGTTCTCTGCCACAACTTTTTCTTGAATTCCTGCCCTTCCTATCTAACTGAACTTCTCTCTGTCTATACACCCCTTCGACAGCTTCATTCCTCCGCAGATGCGAAAATTCTTTCTGTCCCCAAGACTCACACAAAAACATACAGGGAACAATCTTTCTCTTTCTGTGTCCCCAAACAATTCTCTTCTACTACACATTTGCAATATACCGACCATCACAGCCTTCAAAACTGCACTCAAAGCACATTTCTTTAAACTCTACTATCCTGACTGATTCCCCCTGTCTGATCGCTAAACGATGCTGCTGGGTAGCCTTCCATGGTTTGACATGTAAATAGTTCTTGAAAATGGGATACCGCGTCATATAAAACCATCACTAATAATAATAATATATATATATATATTTATATGGAATATAATTAACCAATAAACATATTTTTTATAAAAATGAGAATCAACATTTTGGCAGTTTTTATAAACATATCATTATACTAAAGACCAGTGGGCAGAAAGTTATCCAGGATCTCTATGTTTTTCTCTCTCTATGTTGACACCCTCTCAAAGTTTCTCAGGACCCTCTATTCATTTTATCTGCTTTTTTTTTAAAGTTGGTGTATAAAAATAGATCAGTTTCAGTCATTTAAATTAGTATTTAATCAGTATCAAGATATAAATGCTAGCAATGACAAAATCATTTGTGGAAGTGAAATCTAAAAAATGACCCTAGAAAGAAGAGTCAGATGTTTATGTACCTCCATGCCAATAATCTATTTCCAGCCTAATAAAAAAAGTTATTGAAGATTAGCTAAGCGTATTTCTGAACACAAATTTTTCACCATCACCAAGTATTCAGATTCGCATCTGTTTTTAGCCAAATATTTTAAGTCATTTATTAGGATGAGTTGTACAAAAATACCTGTCAGGAACTAAAAATAAATACAAAAGGAATTTTAGTACCTCTTTAAATGAGAAAAACAAAAACATAATAAATAGTGCAGTTTACCAAAACAATGCAGAACAGAGGAGCATGCACTTAATTAATCTAAGGTTAAGTCCTAATATTTCATCAATTCATAAATTAATAAATGTTTTATATATTTTTATTTTTCATTTTTACAAAGGTTAATCTATACTTCTGTGTTATAAAAGCTGATTATTAGTTTAAAAGTAAGAAAACAGCAAAAACAATTTTTTTTTTCCAAGGCATAAAGCTTTTAAGGAAACGAAACTTGCATAATAATTGAAAAGCATATAAATAATGAAGTCACTTCCCTTGAATAAAAAATCTTAAAACATTTTGACCTAGAAAAAGAAACATAAAAATTTATTTTAAAAATAATTCAGAATATTAATAAATTAAGTACCTGCAAAATATTTCACCAGGCTAAGCAGTGCACAAAAGTTTTGTCCCTTAAGATAAGCATTACCTAAAGAAATTTTGCCTAATCTTTTTTTTAAGATTGGATTACCTAACACTAAACATGCTGAAATAATAGAGAGTATAAAATCCTATCATTTTCTTATATCTAGATGAAACACTGTTGCATTGAAGATCCATCAGATCTTTGCTCAGTGAACATAGCAAATAAAGAGCTCACAGATGTAAAAGAAGACGATCTGACAATGTTTGAAAATGTTGCATATGTCAATGCAGGAGAGAACTATCTACCCTTTGGTAAAGTATTTGTATTATTTGTAACTGCAGAGTGCAGTCCAGCACCCAAACGGAACATAACAATACCTAATGTTGTCAAGCCGTAGTAATGATTAATCCCAGTGGGGCTGATAAAAAATTTATTTAGCCAGACAAGAGAGTGTTCTATAACTAATATTATTTATAGGTTAATTAAATCAAGACAAATTATTCTTACTAAATTAATGAGGCATAAAAGTTCAGGTATATTTAGATTTATGAAATCTTGATGGGCTCTTTAGTACACCTTTGCTACTCTCGTTTGGTTAAAGGTTTGTTTGATACCTTTGATACCTGGTACTTGGTGTTTGGGAAGAGATATTTTGCAAACTTGAAAGTATTAAGAAAACGGATCCTCTTAATGGGGTTTCCTGAGCCTTAATCAGAAAGTGGTAGAGGAAATGATCTTTTTCACAAATGATATCTAAGGAAAGTTACAAAACAAAGGTCTAGCTGATAAAGAGACAACGATTTTTAAACTAGTATGGGACGTAATAGAAAAAGATTACTTACTCTTAGATTATATTTTTCAAAGCAAAAAAAAAACTGCTCATCTTGTTCTGGTAGTGTTTGTTGCTGCATCCATATACTGGCATCTGTGCAAAGGTTGGGGAAGCAATGTTGCTATTCTGACAGATCCTAACAGATGCCAGGGCATCCTTGAAGCTTTCGACCTATATCGAGTCCACAGCGGCATTGTTCAGGTGGTTCCAAGCGATTATTGTGCGTGGGAAGAATGATTGTTTATAATGCACTGTGTTACACCGAGGCACAGTGAAGCATTTGCTATTGTTTCGGGTGTAACTGTTTATGGGGTTGTCAGTGGGGAAATCAGTGTTCAGTGAGCATTTGGCTCTGATTAATCGACCTGGCTTCTGTGGGGTGAGGTATGTGTTTGCTGGGATGGCTGGCACTAGCCCCATAACCACTTTAAATAAGAATATTAGGCGGAGCTTTTCTCGTCTGTCTTTAAGGGAGGGGACATATTTTGCAAATTATATGCTTTAGTTGCATCATGTTCAAATTATATACCACAATGATTCAGTTTATCTATCTTCAATATATTTATTTTAGCTTTTGGTCTGTTTATGACATAAAGTATGATAAAGGAACAATAACCAAATTTTCTTGGATTTTAATCTCAGATTTGGACCCCATGTCTTTCTCACTCTACAACCCAGTTACCCATTTAGAGTCATAAATATAAAAATATTACTCTGAACAAAAATGAAATTATTTAATTATAAGATTTCAATAATTGTTTCCTAAATTAGTAATTTTCTGAGTAAATATGATACTGTCATTAAATTGGACATTATTTGATCTTTATTAAAGTCCAATTTATTCATCTTAAACTATTTATTTTCTTAACAGAAGCTTTCAGGCACTTTCCTTCCCTGAGAGAGCTAGAGTTACCTCTCAATGGATTGAGAAACCTGCAAATTTCCCATTCTGATTTTACCAATCTTGAGGTTTGTTAACAATATATGTATGAGAATGTGACAAGATTTAGACAAAAATTACACTCACTACAAATGATTCAAATTTGTTTTTTCTTTACTGACATGTTATCAGCATATTTTTAAATTATGTCATACATTAGATTTGAGAGAAACAAGAAGGGTTAAAAACTCTGGATTGAAGAAACTAAAGAAATAGACTTCTTCAAACCTTAAACTTTAAACAATTTTCCTTTTATGTTTTTTTTTTTTATAATTACTTTCAAATCAGAAGGTGTGTTGCTATTAATTATTTTAGTTTCAGTTTAAGAAGAGTGGGATCATCTTTAATACATATCCATCCTTTGTTGTTTTTATTTAGGGTTGTCTAGAATTTTCAGTTTCCAAATGACACAAATGTTTGGGCAATTTAAAACATTTGATTTCTCAAATTGTTTTCATTCTTTAGGGGTAGGCCTTTATATAACAGCTGGATGTTTTAATATTTTTAGTGCAAAAGGCACATCATGTTATTTAGGAAGTAATTACAATTTTAACTTGGTTGTTGTTGCTTTTAATATCAGATTCTAAGAACCGGTATTTGACCTTATCGCCATCAGACGAAAAAAATACATTTCATGTTAATTTTTGTGTACTTTTTTTTTTTATATTACAGATGTTGGATTTGTCATACAATAATTTGTCAGAAGATGATTTGTTGACCCTTGGTCTGCTGAGTAAACTTAAAGTATTGCACTTGACTGGCAATAGTTTTGTAAAACTCCCCATGGATATGGCTATGCCATATCTTTCAAGGGAGAAGTAAGTCTGAAACTAAATAATTTATTATTTAGAAAAGCATATATATTTTTTTATATGTAGCATTTAATTTTGTTTCATTTTCATCTTCCAAAAAGCTTATATTTCTGTTTTTACTTTCCAATGCCCAACTAAAACTGTAATATGATAAATTAATATAAAGCCTAACTAGATAGGTGATAATATCTTGTTTTGTTAATTAAAATGTAATGATATACGACAAGTAAAATCTAGCGACATCCCCATATTAAAATTAAAATGTAAATGATATTCCCTCATGTCAAGAAAATGTATTGGGGAACTTCCTATATGACAATTACAATTTAATGTAAATGTCTCAATAAAACAAGTAGAATGATAAGGTGACTGCCTAGCAGATTCTTTCTTAGATTAATATGTTAATGTATTCCCAGGGCTATCTTAACAGCAGTGGGGGCCCCTGGGCATGACCCTGACCATAAAAAGCTGTGCCTGGGGCACTGTGTACACTGAACCACATTGCTGTAACTAATTCTTTGGCCTTGAGAAAATTATGAAATAATAATTAGTTAAATAAATGTAATTTTTTATTTAATTACAAAACTTCTTTTTAAATTATAAATCATTAAAACTTATATTCAAATTATACATCTTGCATTTATCTAGTAAACTCTATTTTTTAAAGGCAAGTGCGGGCTCAGAGATATGCAAATCTGGAAATTCTTCTGCTTGATGACAACAAACTTAAAGAGATGTCTGTTTTTGCTACTCTTGCTGGACTACCAAAGTTAGTGAATAAGTCTGTTGTTGAATTCCAGTGCATATTTAAATTATTTGCAAGCATTATTTCTTGCCCAATTTCATACATAACCATCTCCTGATGTCCATATAATTAATATTGTGTGCAATTAAAATATTTTACCACCCACAGCCGCACTTACTGCTTGTGACTTGTTCTCTATGTCAATCTAAAGTAGACTGTAAAAATAATAAGCAATTACATCAATTAAAATTAGACAAAATTTATCCTTTTTTTTTTTTCAAAGGTGTACCAATTTTTAATTTCTATGACCTTTCACTATATTTTCCTTTTTTAAAGAAAATTCTTGTTTTTCAACATTTAATTTTCTTGCAATTCATATTTTTATTTATGCACTTTATAAGATTCCAAATAATTGCTGTATTAATATTCTAATTTCCCACCCCTTTTTACACCACAAATTTATTACACCAACCAACTATTTCTGTAAAACAAAAGAAAATATTGCGTACCAAACACACTTTTGGTATTTTATAAGATTCTCATATAGTGCAGTTATCAGGAATTTTTTGTTTGTGACAACATTGTTAAATTGAGAATTATGTTTTTTTGATTTTGTACAAATCTATTGTATTTATAATTACTTTTTCTTGTACTTCTGCCATCTTAATGGAAAAATAATGTAGAGTTTTTGTGAAAATTTTAATCATTAAAAAACTTTATCACAGACTTCGCCATCTGGACTTATCAAAAAATGAAATTAATTTTGTCCCCCAACTGAAGTCAGTGGAGGGAAGGGTGGTTACTCAAGATGGCAAAATAAAAAGATCAAATAGGTTTGGTAGCAGCCGCAAGAGCTCACGTCAGTCGAAGAGATCAAGTGCTAAAGATCATAAACAAAATCTAGTTGACAGTGCTGTCAGTCATACAAGCACAAAGATTGATGTTGGTGAAGCTGCTACTGAATCAGAGGACATTACTAGTGCAGAGTCAGAGAAAATAGGTACCAGTATGTGTTATTTTTAGGATGGAAATATATTCATGACCTAACGGGTAAATCTTATTACGGTATACCATGTGACATAGAGTGACCTATATTAATACCACAATAAGATGTAGATACTAAGTAAGATTTAGATACTAAGTAATATTTAGATACTGGAACTATATTATCTCTTCTAAATCTTATTGTTTTCATTGGTTTTCTTTTCATTTAGCATAATAGCATGAGATTGTGTGATTTTTGAATAGATAGTCTCTCCATTTAAGTTTGTGAGGCCTAACATAAAAGATATGTTGAGCTGCTGATTGAGGATTTGCTTTCACATTCAATTCATTCAGATCTCATGGCTGATGTGTTCAACACTTCTGATTTGACTGCCAGAATTGAAGAACTTGGATTGGAAGCATCTGACCTATCAGAACCTCAAGAGCAGCAGGGATCCCAAATTCCACCCTTCCCGGAACTACGCTACCTAAATTTAGTCAACAATCTGGTAAAGGATTATAATAATGTCAGTTTACTGATTTACATGATTTAGCATTGCTTTATTGAGCCCAGTGTTGTTTCCTTCAGGCAGTGATAAAGTTTTAACATATACCTCTCATTTTTCTGTGTCTAGATATGCGAAGAGGATGGACTTTTGGCAGTAGCTGCATGGCCTATGCTGTCGGAGATTGATATCTACAACAATCCTTTAACAACAGAAATAAATGGAGACCCACCTTTGCTGAAGAGGTTTTTAGAAGATAGACTTGGCATCAGACTGAACAGGTGAAACAGGCAATATTTTGTGTGATTTTGTAATTTTAAAAAATATCAAAAATAGAGATTGCTCAATAACTCTTTTTTCAATCTCCTGAGCTGCATCCACTGATATGGCCACCTTAACTAGGGATGTTAAGACCGTTTTCTTTTGGCAAACTGGTTTTCAGTTTTAAAATGGATTTCGGTTTTGCTTTTACAATCAGGCTTCCTATCCTGCAGGAATGCATGAGAACAGCGTTCATGTACTTTTTTTTGCTAAGTTTTTAGTTGCCTATAATTTTATTTTGGGGGGGAGGGGTGTCTTGGGTGAGTTCCCATAATCCCCCTCCCAGGACTTGACCCCTAATGCAATGCAATGTAAATACTTACAACCATGTCAGATTATATTTTATGAGACAGTACCGTCCACAAATGTAGGGAGAGGGGGTGAAGAGGGCTGTTTGCACTGGAGGGCTTTTTTTTTTTGGTCCACTTCAGATACTTTAAATAGCTTTTTTTTTTTTTTTTTTTTTTTTTCAGGAATGATGGAGAGAGGAATTATGGGAGATTGTGAACAGGATTAATATCTATTGTACAATAAATGCTTGTAATAACAAGGCAACCATTTTTTCTACCCATTTTATGCATTATACAGCATCTTTCCTTAATTAAAAAGTAGTTTATTTAATTTTTTGAATGATGATAATAATATGTTTACTATTGCTAAAAATCTCAATTTAAAAAAATAATAATTATGTTATGATTTTTGACAGTTTTAAAACCAAAAACCAGTTTTTGTTTAACATCCTTAATTTAAACATGACTTTGAAATATGAAACCTGAGCAGAGAATCTTATTTCTAATCAGCAAATATAAAAGTTAAACTGAATAATTTATTTAAGTAGTTCAAACAAAGATATTTAAGAGATGCAACAGATATAAGTACATAAAATTCTGACCCATGTTACAGTAATCTCTGTTTAGAGCAAAATACATTAATTTAATCATTTTAATATTTATGAAAATTAACTTGCAGTTAAAGTTTAAATCATTTTACTCATTACAGGAAAAAGCCTATGAATGCATTAGGATATACTAAGAAAAGTAAAGCAGAAATTCGTCCAAAAAATATAAAGGTGAGCACTGAGAAATAATTTTATATATTAACAAAAGGCAAGGATTTATTCATAGTGTGCTGACAAAGCTAGAAGACATTTGCCAGGGAGATTTTTATGGACTGGGAAAATATAATTTTTAGTTGACCCTACTGATATTCTTTTTGGTGACAAAAAGAGGAGAGATGATACACTATGCATCATGAGTAAAAAAAAAAAAAAAACAAAGATTAAAAACATAATTTTAGAAACATCATACATTTTCAATGTTTGTATAGTTATTATTTGAATAATACATGAACAACTTTAACAACTCCATGACAAGAAACTATGTGAAGAATTAGCACAGGAAAAACTGAACTATTGAATTTTTAGTTGACCCTACTGATATTCTTTTTGGTGAAAAAAAGAGGAGAGATAATACACTATGCATCATAAGTAAAAAAAAAAAAAAAACAAAGATTAAAAACATAATTTTAGAAACATCATACATTTTCAATGTTTGTATAGTTATTATTTGAATAATACATGAACAACTTTAACAACTCCATGACAAGAAAATATGTGAAGAATTAGCACAGGAAAAACTGAACTATTGAATCTTCTTGTATGTCTACTTCAACTATTACATCTTGTCCATTAATTTATCTACCCCTTTCATTACACATCATGGACCCCTATGGGAGAGGGAGGGAGGAAGGAGGGAGGGATGAACTGTCCTTAAGGATAACATGCTAACCGAAAGCCCAGCATAATCAACACATGAAACATTCATATGGCATTTCTCTGTCATAATATAAATCTGGGTTTGTGTAAAATGTTATGTGTTTATGTAAATTGATGCATGTCAGGTTCAATTATCCTCACATGTATTTGTTTCAATTTTCATGCAGATTACAGAAACTGTTCCTAAAGTACCAAAATTATCTCTCGAGGAGAAAATGATGTTGGAATCACCACCTCGATTAAAAGCCATTTCTCAGGGACACAAAGATAACATTCAATGTACAAGTTTAGAAAGTAACAACAATTTGTCTTTTTTAACTCTGTTTTTTTTGTGAGTCGACCCATTTGTTTGTAATAAGTCTGGGTCTTATGAGCAATTAATGAGGGAGAAAATCTTTTTTCAGTGGTAAATTAGTGGAACTTTTTAATGAGAAAGTCACGTAATCCTGGAGCAGAGGAGGAAAGGTTTCATCATTGAAGTCTTGTGTGCACAAACATCTAAATTAACAAAATAATGCACCCTATTTTCCCACTACTACAATTTATTTGTTATTTATAACCATGTACTTTGTTAAAGTCAAACAGAAATGCTGTAATGTTACAATTATTTTTTTGTAATGTTACAATTTTTGTTGCTGTTAATGTCTAAATTTGTCATTAGCTTTCTTGCACTTTCTCATATTTAAGTAATATATATTTTTTTTAAATTTTCTCTGTAGTTTTCTTATGTTGTCCCTTTTGTCCATATTTTGTCCATATTTTGTCAAAATATTGTCCATATTTTGTCTTATTCTGTCTATATTTTTGCTAGCACCCATCCTTCCTCCCATTACCTCATCACCTAAAATAGACTCATCAGATGAGTCGGCTGAAAACTTCACCCAGGAGGAGACTGTGGAGGCAGAAGAGGGAGACCAAACTCAAGATGGTCAAGACAGTCAATCAGACACGTTTTTTATGACACAGGTAATGGGACATGAACCTGAATGATGAAATCACCATTTTACACAACTATCAAAACACAGGTGCTAATAATCTGATCTTCCTTTGTAACTTCTGTAGTGATTCAGTGTGACCCATGTGAATTTTTTTTATGGTGAGACCTATTTTAATGCAACAGTTTCTGTAACAATTTATGGGTCATTTTTATTAGTTGGGTGATGTCGGTGAGAGCCAACCTGGACACCCTCCCAAAGAACAGTCGTTGTTCGGTACAGCAGCAACAAAGTCAGGAGAAAATGATAAAAGAGGTACATCCAACGCTAAAGCTGTAGATGACAAATTTAAAGGCTACGAACTGCTGCTGGACATTGAAGAGTTGGATGATGAGCCTGTCCTTCCTTTGGCTAAAGGTGAAATAAGTTTTTGTTTTTTTGTTTTTTTAAATACCCAACATGTTTCAATGTAATATAATTTATAATGAATAAAAGGAATAACGCCAAAAAAATGTATGGATTCTCCACAAACCAGATGATTATTTTTTGTGATGGGAAGGTAAGCCTTTAAAAAATAATGACTTTCCCTTACTTGGTAGAAGCTGCATGCAAAGTCTGTTTGCTCTATTTCCAACAAAGTCTGTGTGCTCTATTTCCAACAAAGTCTGTGATCTCGATTACTAATACAGTCTGTGTTCTCTATTCCTAACAAGTGTTTCAGACTTTCATTAAAGTGATCAAACATAATTTCTTTTCTGATAATTTTCTAAATAAATAAAAATTCATTTATTTGTAAGCGCTTATCTCATATTAGTTTTTAACCCGTTTTATAATCAACAATGGAACTAAAACTTTTAAAACACACATAAATCGGATAACATTTTATACAACAAAATGAAAAGGATCACAACCAATTTTTTACTAATCATAACCACTTTGATGTTACAATTAATAAATATAACTTTTTTTATTTGGCAAGACGTGCCTTCAAACCTCAACAGTAAACTGTTAAGTACATTCAGTGCCTCTAATGACTCTTGATTATTCTGTGTGTTTAACTCATTGTCATTAGCTTTGTACTCATTGTCATTTCCAGATGTACAAGGAAACCTTCGGACACTGAAACACACCTTAAACCATATGCTTGTCTACAGGGACCCAGCAGTGGAGCTCACCCATGTCAAGAAAATGGTTCAGGAATACAGAAGAGTTAGTATTACTCTTTAAATATTTATCTATGTGGAAATGATGATATCCTGCAAGATTACAATAAACAAAACTAGGCAACATAAAAAAAAAGAAATAATAGAATTATTCCTCTGTGCTTTTAATTAAACATTCATCAAAAGAAAGAAAGCTGTTTTAAAAAATTGGAGCTTAACTACTAGTGTGAGTTCTCATGACATATAACCAGAGATGAAACGCCTAATGTGGGGGTCCTCAAAGAGTCATGCAAATTAACCCACATTGTGTAAAGATGAAAATCTAGGGGGTAATTAGGGCTCAATAGACTTAAATAAAATTATATATTAATAAGGCCCATTTCTTTTTACAATAGAACTTCCTGTTGGCAACGCAGCTAATGGCCAATGTATCTGGAAAACGCTCAGATTATGTTGTGGTTATTTTTTTGCCTAGGCAGCCAACGTCATGGGAAAGGGGCTCGGTGGAGGTAGTCCATCCCTGGACAGGATTTTTTTTTATTAGATTGAAGGACTGCAGTTTGGGCCAACCGTAGAGTTTTTTTTAAAATTCATTTTGTAGCAGCAAAGTATTTGAAGACCTTCTTAATATTAATATTCCATACTACCTTCTGCTTCCATACTTGGTAGAGTTAAATAAGGATTCAGGAATGCTTAAATTTTCAGGTTTTTTCCCTTCAAAGGTCTTAAGGACTTTTTTTTTTTTTTTTAAATGCACGACCTAAAATACTTACGGCATTCATTTACGTATGAGTTTTTTAATTTTCCAACTGCATGGTCTCATCTTAAATTTTCGAATGGTTGGCAAACCTGCAGTGCTTTTTGTAGATAAAAAGGTGTTGGTGGGTGATGTGACTTTAACCTCACAGTCCCTCCCCCTTTAGAGCATAAGTAATAATATATGGATGGCCCCTATCCAAAATGCTCTCCTATTTTTTAATGTTTTTGTGTCCAAAGTGTAATATCATTTATCCAATATTTAAAGTAAAAATTTTCTAAGAAATCATTTTACTCCATGATAAGGATTTTATTCATTTACTTTATAGAATTTATTTTATAATATTTTTATATTTATAAATTTATTTTCCTGATCAATAGATTCTATAACCATATTGAATTTAAATTATATATATGATTATAAACTCATTGGAGGAAAAGGGGGGGGGGGTGTGCGCCAGTTTAAACAGATACATTTTTGGATCATAGCAAAATAAGTTCCCCGATGCCTGGTTTAGGTGGTTCGCATTCACTTGTATCAATGATCCTAAAGCTTTACCACTAGGATCCTGAGATTGAATCGTTCGTTTATTACTGCTTGCCTAGGTGCCCGTTCCACCATCAAAGCCTGCTCGAACGTACCAAGAGAAAGTCAACGATGTCTTGACCCATCTTAAAACCAGGTCGACCGTTGAGGAAGAGAAGTTGATCAATGTTCTCAGAGATAGGCGGCAGTTGAGAAAGAAGTTTCCAGAAGCTGAAAATTTACTTGGCCAGGTAATAATGTGTTGTAGTTTGCCAGATAAAGATGTGACATTTGTTTCCAGGTTATGCTGCTACAGCTTGTGAGGTTGACCCAGTGCTTCAGTTTCATTACCCCAGCAGGCAAATAAAAGAAGCCGTCTGGCTGCTCAGTTAATGAGAGTAATTTTAGCTCAATTGACGCATGCAAATGAACATTTTGTCAAGTCTTTTTGTGTTTAAACCAGAAAAAACCGGCCAAACATGGCAGTGACAGTGCTGAGCTTCCCAACCACTAAAGTTACCTGTCTACATATGCATTTAATAAGAATTCCAATCAGTAATAACTTCTGGTAATTTTATTTTACTCGCCTATTGAACACAGCCTTACAACCATACATGCATACATACCCAGAGAGTTATTATTTGTGATATCAATTTTTTACTATCGAAGGAAAAATATGCTAGATCATAATTATTTGATTGATTCAGTTCTTGACATGTTTGCTTACCATGTTTCAGATTCAGCGACGCTACAATGCTGTCCGCTTGCATTCATTGAAGGATGCTAAAGAGGCCTGAGAAATTGATAAAACATTTTACAGGCGGCCTGCCGATTCTAACAAATAAAACATTAATAGCATGACCGGATGGATCACTGTCGGTGAGAATTTCTTCTAGGACAAGTCGAACATGTTATAAATCTCAAGAAAACTTTTCAAACCAGTTTTCTCAAGCAAAAAAAAAAAAAATGTCATTTGAAACTTTGAAAAATGGTTCAGGAAGAAAGGTTTTTAATTTTTGTGGAAAGAATCGATACCTGGACGCCACTGAACCAATTTCAGCTGGTCTCTGAAATATTTCAGCTTTGAGATGACACTTTGCTTTAACAGAGGATATTGACAAACTCCATTGTTTCTCCAAGCTCAGACTTGACATTTAAATTATATTTATTGCTTATTTGTTATTTTCTTGTTCATTTTTCTGTAAATTTAATTATACAAAAATAAATCAATTATTCTTTTAAAAAAGAACCAGTGATAGTAAACGTGTAGGCCCTAATCACGCTATTGTGTTTATGGAGACTGTTTGTGTTTGTACAGATTGAATATTTTAAGGGTGATTGAATGTGTTTGCAGAGATTGAATGTGTTTATGAAGATTGAATGTGTTTATGAAGATTGAATGTGTTTATGAAGATTGAATGTGTTTATGAAGATTGAATGTGTTTGCAGAGATTGAATGTGTTTAAAGAGATGTTAATGTGTGAATGAAGATTGAATCTGTTTATGAAGATTGAATGGTGCTTATGAAGATTGAATGTGTTTGCAGAGATTGAATGGTGCTTATGAAGATTGAATGTGTTTAAAGAGATGTTAATGTGTTAATGAAGATTGAATGTGTTTATGAANCCCCCCCCCCCCCCCGAAAAATGTGTACAACAAAAAACGAACATACATTTTTTTTTTTAAACCCCACTAAATTGTCATTTTTATATAATTTTTAAAAAGAACTGGTTGTCTTTCGCCAGTTACAATTAGTTGAACCGATGAAACATCGCTACGCTCTGTATCAGGGGGTCACCAAACCGCGGGCCGGATTTTGCCCACTGACGGTACTTGAATTTGCTCGATAAAACGTATGGAACACGAGATGGTGTAATACAATTTAAATGTTAAGTTAAGAATAGTAGGAGTCGGGACATCTTCGCACGTGCGGAGGAGGCCTTCTGGCTTCCATGCGTCTTGAATTTACCATTTTAAATAACTTTTTCTAGATTTTCTTTTTATAATATGGTATCTTAATTGTCAATAAATAAACATGCAGTATATATAATGAATACAATAGCTAATCGCAGTGCCTAGTGGGAGCGAGTTAATCTGGCGTCAAAAAGTTACCCTCTAAAAGTAAAAAAAATATATTGCAATTGGTGATCCCATTTTGTGCAGATGCGTATTTGCTATAGATATTAATTTATATTGAGTGGACATACAGATCACATTATCACAGTCTGTAACTGGTAAGATAAGATAAGAATAGATAAGATAAGGATAGATAAGATAAGATTCTTTTATTGATAAAAAAAAATGGAAATTTTTTTGATTGCATTATAAATTTTCAGCACATAAATAAAATAATTTGAACACAAGACATTTATAATAATTTTTTTCGAGCAGCCATTCATTGAGTTCTCCTAGCCACATCAGGGACTTATTAGTTCTCATTAAGAGGGAGCACGCTGGTAAATTCGTACAGATTGGGGAACAAAAGATTTTTTATATCTTTCAATCCTCGCTCTGATGGAAAGAATTCGCCCCGAACGGCCCGATCCTAAGTATCTGTGATGAAGAGGGTGCGACGTATCATCCAAAATGTGTTTAGTTTTACAAAAACATCTTTCTTCAAATAGTTCTTCAAGTGAAGGATGTTTAGTTTGTGTTATGTTCCTAGCTTTCTCTATTAGTCGGTTTATGCGGTGTTTAATATCAGACGTTGAATTCCCACACCAGCAGGTTATACTGAAATTAAGTAGGCTTCCAATTGTTACACCGTAGAATAAGTTAACGACTTGCTTGTTTACGTCGAAATTGTAGCCTACAGTTTTTTTGAGGTAGAACAGTAAACAAAGTTACCGGTGAAATTAGGCGTGGTTCAAACTCAAAGTCAAATCAGCAACAAACAAGATGTGTTTCAATAAGAATTAATCGATAAAATGATGAAATCCTTCATTGATAAAATGATGAAATCCTTCATTGATAAAATGATGAAATCATTTAAAAAACATACCAAATAACTCGAGCTTCTTTTTTAATTATTTTTTTTTTAAAGGAAAAGCTGGTTTAAAAAATAATTTTAAAAAAGAATCAATATCCATTCATCCTTCTCCCGCTAATATGTTTACAGTTTAAGTCTGACAACTACCACAAACTGTAAATGGGTGAAAGGAAGAGAGGTGTTTGAAAAAATACGGGAGAATTAAAAAGCGAACTCGCCGCTTTTGGAACTATCAGCCTTTCGGCAAATTCAGCTGTGCGGAGAACAGGGGAACTTGGAACTTGGATAGAGCATAATGGTACAGATAGCCTGCATGAGAACGCTAGGAACCTTCTCTGTCGCTGGATGAGCCTACTGATCTCTCGAGTACGTCACAACTTCTCGTGTTTTTTTTGTGTGTGGTCAATTTGGACTTTCAGATAACCCAAGAGCTGGCATCCGTTTGCAGCATACACGAAACAACAACTGGAAAAGACATTTTCATGGAAGTGCAACACATTTCGCACACAAAACACTTCAGTGGAATCAGCTTTCGAGGTTTTACAGGTGATGGAGGAAAAACATGGCTGGCTGGGGTGAGGCAGTGCCGTAGCTAGGGGAGGGGGAGGAGGGTCCAAATTCGAAAGTCCCCCCGGGCCCCTACTTGAGGGGGCCCAAAAAGGCGTGTCCGAAATATTTTTTACACTTAATAATGTCGAATGTCAAAATGCAGGAGCCCCTAAAGAGGCCAAGCCCCCCGGGCCCCCAAATCCACCCCCCCCCAATCCCTAGCTACACCACTGGAGTGAGGACATGTCTGGTGGGGCAGATCGTCAAGTTTTTCAGTGCTTCCTTCCACTTTTCAAACTCTACCACTGGGACTTCTCATCCGAACATCTGAAATGCCCCCCCCCCCC